GGTTCGAGCCCCGGCCGGAACATTGTGTTGTGTTCTTAGGCAAGACACTTTTCTCTCACAGTGCCTCTTTTCACCCAGGTGTATAAATGGGTACCGGCAATTTAATACTGGAGATAACCCTGCGATGGACTGGCATCCCATCTAGGGGGGAGTAGAAATACTCCTAGTCACTTCATGCTACATAAACTGGAGTTAAGCACCAGCCTAATGGACCACTAGGCTCGTAAACAGACTTTATCTACATTAAAAGAAATGCATTTACAAAAGTCGGCACTCAAGTCATGGGGCTTTACAGGGCCCAAGCCTATCCCAGTTTCTGCAGCATGAAGTGTCAAGGAAGGATTGCAGGTTCGCTCACAGCACTTAATCAGGTTTTCCTTACAGCTTGTCAATACCCATCGATACTCTTGCATGGAGAGAAGCACTGTAAGAGGCAAGTGTCTTGCATGGCCCAAGAGTGCATCACAATGGTGCACACAGATCTCAAACCTCAGCATCATGAGCTGCTGTCCAGCATGCTAATTATTCGTACGCTCCACCTCCCCATTTGTTGGTACATTAATGATGCAAATTTATTTATTACACGACTTGGGCAGTCAGAGGGCCAATAACTAAAACCAACCAATCAAAATGCACTATTGCCGGTCAATATTCTCTCAGTATTGGACCGGGCACTGTCCTGAATGGTCCTGAATGATACCGCACTTGTGTTCCTTTGAACTTCAGTCGTATAATAAATCTCTTATTAACCAAGCTTGCTCGGGACCGTACTGGAAGAATATCGGCCCTCACTCTTTTTTGTATCGTCAAGACCTCGGGCCGATATTCTCCCAGTGCGGCCTTCGCGCTTGGTTAATAAGATATATGTAATTGCTCTTCCTCTACCATCACTTTTGAATAATGGAAGAAGTTGTTAGTATTAGCACACCTTCCAACAGATGATCAGCTCTGTAACAGTCACCAGTCTTGACATCCTTAACCATAAAATCAGCAAACCTGTCAACATGCCCGGATGCTCTGAAACAAGAAAAATAATCAATACAATCAAAACTACCTCCTTACTTTTAGTTAATAAGGAAATCAGTTTCAAAGAAAATGTATCTAGGTTCATAACTTTGTGAAACTTAACAATCCAAATTCTCCTAACAGTATCACCACTGAATCAAACATCAAAGCCATGAGAATAATGAAAATGATCACCAACTGAAGAAGCTTTTGATTGCTAAACAAAATCTCCCTGTCAGCACCTTAGGAAAGTTATAGAGAACAATATGGAGAATATGCATTCTGATATAAGGGTGTAAAATGATAACATGTACCTACAGAAACCTCCCTTTGTTTCACACTTTCTCAGTTGTAATTTGATTATATCAACATTTTGAGTGTTAGCCCTTCATCACAGCAAATGACGAAGGGCTAACCCTTGAAATGTAAGCTTTTTAACTCGTTACCGGGGCCAATTTACAATTTCAACTTAGTTGATAAAACCAAATTACCTTGTCACCCCCACCGACGCAGCACCACAGTTTCTTTAGAAACTTACCCACTTTATTCATTTCTCAGTTAAAGTCAACTGTTTACTCACTTAAGGACTGAATGAGGCGTCAATAGAGAGGCCCTGATTTCCAGCATTTGCTCTTCCAAAACAAAGTGTGATTTCCATATGTTTATCATGTTGGCCTCCATAGCACAACCAGAAGGCCCATAATCATACAACCCTGCTACACCTGCCATCCAAAGGAAGATATATGACTTTAAAATAACTTCACTAAGTAAACCTTTTCTCTCCACCATGATCAAAAACAAAAATTCTTTGCAATGACTGTGGTACATTCTTTATCATTTTGGATCTAAGAATTTGGTATTGAATCAAGAAGTATTCCCTGCTTAAGATTTATCTTGCCCCTCTTTTTCGATTTTTTAGGAAAAATTCCTTCTTAGTCACTCCCATCAGGATCTCATTTAATTTAGTGATTCGCCTCCCTGTCTGCTAACTCCAGATTACTCCACATAGTCAACTAACCTCCATAGATTTCAAAAGAAGGGACAAAAAAGAAGCGCCTCTTTAACAAGTCCTCCAGTTTTGACCTGTCAAATTTTTCTTGCTTGGGCGCCATTTCTTTTTCCTGAAAGTGAGGGATTTCAATTTCAAATATTTTAGAATAAAGATTAGCTTGTCTGTACTGAAGATAAAACCCTTTGAACTTCCACATGCAAACAGACAGTAATGTCAGTAACTAACATCAGTACACATATTCTCCATACTGGTCTCTGTACTTTTCCCAGGGTGCTGACAAGAAGAATTTGATTAACAATCAAGAGCATCTTTAGCTAGAGATCGTTTCCTTTATTCTCATCGCCTTCATGTGTGATTCAGGGTCATAATGTGAGGAGAAAATAGATACTAATCACTCTTAAGGGTCAAAAGATCAATTCAAGCCTAAGGAAAAAAAGCCGCCATCCTTGAGTGGAAATCGAGCTTTGACAAGGTAAGCAATTAATACCAGGAATTCAACACTACATCATAAAATAACTGTAAATATATTTTTAAGTTGCATTCATACCTTGGTCTCAAAGGCCTTCTTCCGAACTTTAAGTTCTTTGATGGCAACTTCGAGGTCTGGGACTGGAGCATTTTCAGCTTTTAGCTTTCTTACCAAGTCACCCTGAAGCAGAATAAATCAACCAAAACACAGGTTGTAGAAATGTACAATGCATTTACAGGAATGTGATCAATTATAACCTATGCATAATCAGAATTTCTGTGTAACCTCATGAAATGCAGATGTGGGTTGCAGTGGAGAAATACATCACACTTACCTCCTTTTCTCCTTATCTATAATATTTAATTATATATATTAATTATATATATTTTATTATATATTCTCCTTATCTATAATATTTAATTAAGTGTTCTGTTTGTGTTTAGGGCAAAAAACTAATAAAGTACGATGATGGGCTGTAAATTAAATAAACCTTTATCTGGCTTCGTGTTCTATAAGAGGATAACTCCCTTGCTAAAAGGGAACCTTTCTCCAGACCTATTCCCTCAACATTTTTCTCTCTAGCAAACTTTTCTTTTAAATTTCAGACAATCATTCATCAACTCACAAAAATCATCCTCTAAAATAAAGGGTCTCCTATCTACATACTGTGGCAATATCTGCTGGTTGATCCTATTTTTTAATTTATTCTCAGCATGTACTTGAATATAAAAGACGATGGCCTTAACATAAAAAAAAAATTGCTTAAAACGATATATATAGATCCTCTATTTACTAATCGACATGTGACAAGAATACCTCAATTCAAGCACAGTTCCTCACAATTAAACGACAAATAGAGAGATGTGTTGGTTACCAACGAGAAGAAGGAGTCGGTTTAAGGGAAAGAAAGTTATTTTTTGGGATGATGCAATATGTAAGACATGCAGCGTATTTACAGAACTAAGCTCTTATCAGAGTTTGATAGTAAGATCCACGAAATCAGACCATATCGCTTAAAAAAAAAAAAAAAAACAAAACAAAACAAAACCAAAAAAATTGAAAAGAACCTAGACTAAGTACTGAAAATTCATTTCCCTCTGAAAATACCCATACACAGCTTTCCGAGTTTCCAAGGATCTACTTCCGTTCCAATTTCCGAATATGGTCAATATGGAAACAGAACAACATTGATGGTTGTACGTTACTAATGATATGTACGGTACACACTAAAACAATAATACTTTCACAAAAATTTTCCATTTAAACATTGAGTAGCTCTCATTACATACCTGCTCCTTCAAAGATTTTCGTAGATTCTCCAGAATGGTTGAATTTTCGGCGTCGTCGGCAGACATTGTTTTTATTCCCAGAAAAATTATTAACTTAGAGAAGTTTTCGAAACCCCACTCAGGCAATCTAAGCGGCTGGAAGATATTTCTGCAATTTTGTAGCCTGAAGATATAACCTTGACTTGGACTTCTTGCAAAAAATTGCGTCTTCGAAAATAAACTTCGGAAGACAAACAGTGAATTCATTCAATCAGTGATTCATCGTTCTGCCACGAGGATTGGAATGCCAGTGTGCCATGCGCCGATAAAATCGAGTTTCAAATATCTCTCATGAAGTGTCTCAAGTGATTGCGTGACTGCTGCACCGACTATCGTGACTTTTCCAAAAGGGAGGCATATGAAATGCACAAAAGTATCTCTTTTGTGAAATACGAACTTCGTGAGGTAAACGACTTGTGCTCATTTGCAAATTTTCGTAGATATAATTTCACTGCAATGAGTAAAAGAAGAGCTTCATCCAAAGCTGGATCGTTGAAAAAGCGGGGGAAAGTTGAAGGTGTCGACCAAACAGCGGGAAACGAGGTGAAAACCTTGGTGGATAAAGTAGCTCGCGAACTGCTCAAGAATGCCGATCACAAAAAAAGTCAACCCATGAAGAAATACTTGAGGGACAAGTTCGAGATTTTTGGTCTTAGCAGCCCTTTAAGGAAGAGCGTTTGTAAGGAATTGTTGAAGGAGAAATTGAATCCCGATGACACGAAAGAGTTTGTGCTGTTTTTATGGACTAAGCCAGAGCGAGAATTCCAGTACTTTGCCATCGATTATCTCGAGAAGAACTTGGAGTCTTCCGCAGATTTTGAAGAAACCATCCAATGCTTGAAGGATTTGATCACGAGCAAATCTTGGTGGGACACTGTGGATGCACTGGCTTCCAAGATGGTTGGGGGACTCGTGAAGCAACATCGAGATTTAGGAAAAGTTGTCATGGAAGAATGGATCAATCATGAAAACATGTGGCTCAGAAGAACCGCCATACTTCATCAGCTCTCTTTCAAAGAGGAAACGGACGAGGAGATGCTGTTCCGCTTCTGCAGTCTAAGGGCTTCCGAGGAAGAGTTTTTCATCAGAAAGGCCATTGGATGGGCCCTGAGACAGTATGCTCGGACTTCTAGTTCCAGTGTCAAGAAATACTTACTGAAGCACAAGGGAGAATTAAGTGGCCTGAGCTTCAAAGAGGCCTCCAAACATTTGAACTTGTGAAGACATGATATTCATAGGATATTCGAAGTCATACTTGCGCTACCCTTGTCTCCTCGATGGACAATGAGAGTCGTCACTACCCTGCCCATTGAGGGCTTTCGCTCTAAGGTTGTATCAAAAAGCCAATGTTTTCTAAAGGGTTGGAACTTTTTCCAAACCAGTTTGCCTTTTATTTTCCTTTGTTTCAAATACTAGACAAAAAAAATATAAAACTGGGTTTGTATTAACCTATTAGATCCTGTGTTTTTTCTGATAGAAAGTTGCAGTTTTTAAGTCTTTGCATCCACACCACAAGAAGTTAAATCTTTTCTCACAAGAAGCATGTATTCAAAATTTATTTTGGATGTACTTGTAAAATACATCAGAATGTAAATAAACAAAAACCCAAGCCAGCCAATCTTACTTTTAGATTTCTTATTTTTCCTTTCTCCTCTTTGTTCAACTTTCATTGTCTGAATTTCATCTCATCAAAAAGTTTTCGAGGAAAAGTCACTAGGTGTACAGAGCAAGACATTTGTTTAAAGAAAAAGCCGTTATGAGCAACTGGGTCTAAATTTTCTTGCAGTGATTTGTATAATGGAGAGGTTGGCTGTAAATAGGCCATTAGCAGTTAAAGCTAAAAGGGGCCTTCCTAACCAATGGTAAGGTTAGCCAATAAAGTTTTCTCTTAATTTTTTTAGACTGGTTAAGTTCATCATGCTTTTCTTTGTTACCCTCACATGCACCAACCCACATACATTGTCAATAACAAAGCCTTGAGTTACTTAACTTAAAAATAGGTTGGCAAAACCTCGAGTTTAAAATGGCATTAGAACATCCTTTTTCTCTCATATGCTGGTTTGATTACCAGCCACTCTTCAGGAAGTAAGCCTGGGCTCCTCCCTGAACTAGGAGGTTCAAATACCAGACTCAAGAGGACCTTGGAAATCGAGCCTATTCACAGGAAGATGCAAGCAACAAAATTCCAATTTGTAATGTGTCTGTTCAGTAATGCGTCACAGATAATCACAATGTCGTACGAACAAAAAAGTGGCACAAGAAGCACAGCCAAGTGTGTCAATGATATTCCTACCACATTTTGACATCTTCTATGATCTATTCCTGTACAGACCCATGGCAACATGGAATCTAATTGTTAAAATAAGGAAGATGTGGTGATAGTGATGTCATCAATGCATCTGTCCTCCAATGGATCATAGACAGGAGCCAATAAAAATTTGTATAGTTTTCAGTTTATTGTATAATTCCCAATTAGTAACCCACGTGTGTTTTTCATCTTTTCTTTGGTGGAGCATGCACACTCCTGAAAACAATTTTGAACTGTTTAATGAGTTAACATAAACCAACAGAAAAAAAAAAAAAACTACGGTGTACTCAATAAAGGAAGAAGCCATTTTATTCAAATAATTACCATGCATCAATGCAAAAAATACAGAAATGTTTATCAAGTATCCACATTTACAAGTAGACAAATCACAAGCAGTGTTACTAGTGCTTTCAATGGACACCACTTATTCTTTAATCGATGTTTGGTCGCTTATTCTCCAGCTTGCTGTAATCAGTATGGGTGTAAAACTACAAAAAGAAAATATACAAGGCAAGGTTACTGGATTCTTTTTTCCAAGACTGTAGAAGGGATATATTTGTGCTAGGTCAAGAAGTACCTCTAGGTGGATAAAAATACAAAAAAAGCAAACCTTCAAGCATTGATCATGCTTTATCTTTTGCCAAGGATATGGATTGTTCTTCCTGTCCCAGCTACCAAGTAAAACAAAACAAAGTATAAAAAAACAATTATACTAAATTGTGAAGAACAGACTCACTGAAAGACTTTTAAACTACTTTAAGGTAGGAATTCAGGTCTAATGCTTTTGAGATAATCATCACATTTTGAAGACATCTTGGTATGCTCTTGGCAACATTTAACCAAAAGACCACAGTAATTGAACAGTTTAGGAGACCAAACGAACACAGTATTTGAACAGTTTGGGAGACTTCTCATTAAACACATCGCACATTTTCAAGGGCTAAAAATGTCACATATTAAATTTTGAAAAGCAAAATTAGACCTTCTTTTAGACCCTTTTCCACCTTTACACCTTGACATCAGCATTCATATTCCCCACACTCTTCTTAAAATATTTTCTTCGGTACCGACAAGGAGAATTTGTTTCACAATCAATGCTTCTTAGGGTGATGATCCTTTCCTTTATTCTCATGATCTTAATGATTGATTCAGCAGTATTACTGAAAGGAAAACTTAGATGCTGGTCACTCTATGGGTTTAGTGGAGGCGCGGTGGTCTTACGGTTAGTGTGCTTGATTCGGGATCAAGTGGTCTGGATTCGAGCCCTGGCCAGGGACATTGTGATGTGTCCTTGGGCAAGACACTTCACTCTCACAGTGCCTCTCTTCACCCAGGAGAATTGAATGGGTACCAGCAAATTTAATGCTGGGGGGGTAACCCTGTGATGGACTCATATCCCATCCAAGGGGGGGTAGCTGCTTCATGCTAGCTGCTTCATGCTACGGAAACTGGAGTTAAGCGCCAACCTGATGGGCCACATGGCTCTAAGTAGGCTTTACCTACCTACCTACTCTAAGGGTTGACAGGTTAAAGATTCGCTGTTGATAAAGTAATGCATAAAACTAATGAAGCTTTAAGTTTCGATACAAACACTTGTATAGTACATGTACTGATGGTACAGTTTTTTAAATTTGTCTAATTTTTTAACAACGACAAATATTGACTCAACAAACAGGTATCTTGGGCAAGAATCCAAGTTAACTTGTGTACCATACATTAACTTCACCCTCAAGGATCACTATGATAGAGAAAGATTACCCTCAAGGCCAACGAATCATCTAAATCACTTGTTAATCACTATTTATTATTCATATACATACGTAGCATCTGGGTTTTTAGTGGCCAGTCGCATTAAATAATAACCAGCTCCCACACAACCAGCACCAACCACAGCAAAGAGCGGAATCAACTGAAAAAAAGAAAATCAAAAGATAAAGTGCTAAATGACAGAGACACTGCACTGGCTGCTTTTTCAACCCAAGACAAGGGGATTCCAACCAACGAACATAATCCCTTCTCCCATTTAAAGATAGCCTGAATCTTTATCCTCAATTTTCTATTGGACCCTTTTAAAAACAAAATCTGTGGGGTTAGGTTTTTTCAGCACTTTAGAAAAATGTCCCACAGTTTGTGATTTTTTTTTTAGGCTGTTTTGGAGCAGATTCCTAGCCCCAAATCGGAAAGTTTGCCATCCATAGGGCTCAAAATAAAGATAAAATATGGAACTTTCCCCACTCTCTCACAGTTCAAATCCAGAGCAATCCCTTTACCACAAAATAACAGTTAATTTGAAAAAAAAAATTTTTTTTAATTCTGAACTTCCCAATCTGAAATCTGATTCCAGCATTTTTTTCAGTAGTTTTACCCGTGATACTCGTCCAGTTGTTAAATAAGCACAATACAAAATACGTCACTGTCAATATAATACCATAGCATTGATTTTGTATCAATTTTTTTCTAACTACATGGCAGGTTTCTTTAAAAAAAAAACGGAAATACATTACTTGGAAGACCAAGATGACGTAGGAACCGCACGAATACAGAAGAAAACTAGACGACTTATTGAAACGCGCATTCTTAAATGAACTCAACTCTATGTGCAACTACATGTACCTTACACTTAAAACGATCAAACAAGCACCCAGCTAATATTTTAGAATAAATTTGTCCAGCTTAAAATCATAATCATACCTCGGGGTGTTTTCTCAAATAAGTAAAAACCATTTTAGCCGTAACTTGGTCGAAACAGAAGAAAAATGATGTTAAAGATTCGCTCGAGCTCTTCCAAGATGGCGTTCGCACCAAACTCTGTGAGGCTTGGTTGCTAAGCCAAATATTGCGTCACAATTCACGGTTCACAGAGTACGATATGGCTAACTTTAAGAATGAGTAAGAAAGATGAAGAAACTCAAGAGTGTCAATGCTGCAACTAAAGGGAAAATACTGCAACGTATGTTTATTTATCTTTCTTTTCTTCTTAAGTTCTGAAGTACAATTACAACATGTTTACGGAAGAGGCTTGGGCTAATTGACGTTAAGTATATTTAAAGAAATTAAACTGGCCAGTCTTGCGGGGAACAGAGTTATGGCCTTGGATAAAGCAGCTGTGAATCTAAGTGGCAGTACTGTAACCTTGTATATACCTACGTAGCTAGCGGTTTTTTTTTTTTTCATGCTTTATAGAGTTGATCGAGCGTCGAAGCCGTGACAGGCTCAGAACGAAAAAAATTGGCAATTAGAAAGCGAGGAAGCAACTCCCCCTTTGTTTATTTCTGTAACGAACGCTCAAAAGGCCGCTAACTACGCAGGCTTTGGGCTTCTGGTCGTATTGCATAAGGAGCGCGTATTTCAAAATGGCTCTACATATAACAGATAGCAGGGAATGAGTTACATATGACCCCATACATTAATTATACATTCCATTTCATAAAGACTAAATATAAAGGTTTCTGTTGTAGTTTAATTTTATACTTGGTTCAAATTTTATTTTCCTTTTTTCTCGGTCATGTTAATGTATGATAATGAGTTTGAAACAAAGGAGAATAAAATTTGAACCAAGGATAAAATTGAACCACAACATTTCTTTGCAACACTCTATGCATAATTAATGTATGGGGTAAAATGGAACTCTTGCCCATAGCAGATCTCATGGTCGAGTTTTGCCATACTCTGCAAACTAGCGGAAGCGTATGTTTATATTACTGCCTACCATTGGTGTGCAGAGCGTCAGAATGGAACTCCCTGGGGAAGTACCCAGTAATTGTAGTAACAATAATGGTCTTAAGATTTTTTAATCACAAATTTCAAACAAATGAGAGCCTTTCCTTTTTTCATGTCACTTCAAATTTAAGAGCACTCCCCAGGGGTGAGGACGGTCTACATTTGCTGTGTCTTTTACTTTTATCTTCAAGTTTTTGTTGAGAATATTAAACAAAACCAGTACAGTATTGATTTCAATTTAAGAACTCAAACGAGGATTTGATGAGTTTTCTTGTGTACAAAAAAGTGAATACATTTTGTGTGCCTTACTATGAACTGGAACATGCATTTTTTTTTTAATGTAAAGTTCGCAGAGGTATGTTTTGTCAAATTGAAAAATTTACTTTCAAAGTTCAGCCAAGAGCAAGGGTTTATAGGATTAAATACCTTTCAATGAAAACCACGATTGTCTTTTCATTGTCTGAGTTTGATTTTAGATGTCAATGTTTTTGAAAATTTGTCAGTACAATTTTAAGAAAAAAATATCACCCTAAATTTTTAAAGAAAAGTACATCTCTTGAAGCAGCCTTGTGCTTAGTAGGTTTTAATTATCTAATATTATATGCTTAGCAATACTAAAAGTTTTTTTTTAGTGCAAACCCAGTGGGGCTTCATTGTCTCCCTGGAAATCTTTTCCATACACTCCAAGGCTCATTATGATTCTGCATCTGGCCGGGCTTTTTCAAGCTTTGAGTAATCTGTATGACTGTAAAGCTGTTTGAAAAATAAAATTGCTTGGTTCAGCTGCAGAAATTATTGATTAAAAGTTGTGATTAAAGACATGGTTTGGTAAACTGTTGTGATTCCAGTTAAGAGGCATTTTTATGACCACAGAAACACCTGGGGAAAACTGTAAAACCTCTGTAAGTGCTCACCTTAAGTTGTTCATCATGCTTGACATTAAGCCAGGGATGAGGGTTATTCTTTTTGTCCCAACTGTAAAGAAAAGACACTGAGTTAATTTAGAGGGAAGACTGGAAAGGCTAGGTCATACACCTATGCAAACATGCAGTCCTCTTTTGGTGAGAGTGCAAAACACAGCAGCACAAACGCCATCGATTATTTCATTAGATAAGTATCATAGGCAAAGTTTTATGTAAATACCGGTAATTGTAAAATATTAACTACGATGCGGCATTGTTTTGATCGACAAAAAATTCGTTTTTCACCGTTAGTCTAGTGGCATTGTTACATGGAAGTCTAGTTTGGTTCGAATCTTTTTTGGAAGAAAAACAAATAACGTTTTCTGGGAATCTCAAGTTAATCAGCGATCAAGAAGTCAAAGAAGAGGTCAACAATGACAGCTGAAGGTGTAATCAAACTGCAATCATGTATGACAAAAGAAGGCGGCCAGGGCGAGATCTCCAAGATCGATCAGGACAAAAAAACGGCCCTGACATCTGATGTAAGTTCATTTTGCTTTCAAGATTCCGTGGGACTCTTTAATTTCTTTAGTATTTTAAAAAGTCCGGACAAGGTAGTGACAACTGGAGTGGCGACAGCGTCATATTGAGCCACAGGTAACTGTCATAAAAACAGTCTTTGTTTTTTTTATCAGCATTGTAATGAAGTCTATGTCCATAAAAAGAAACAGACCATTGCAGATAAAAGAGCTGTACAGTTTGACGTTCAGACTCGAAATAAATTGAGTAGTGGGTTCGTGAGCCGAACGAAGAGGACAGCAGTGCGTGAGCTAAATGAGTAAAATTATTTATGACTCAGAGAAAACGTTTTTTTTTTGTTTTCCTGTTCAGATATTTGGTCAGGAGTCAATGTTTGTCTTAAACGATCCCAAAGACGTGAGTCACCTCACGCAGAGAGACAAATTAGGCATCAAATTACAATGCCTTGGTGACAATTGCAAATAATTGCATTACTGTAATTAAACATGTTATCCCCTTAAAGAGGAAAGTGAAAACTAAGACATGAAAGTAAAATAACATCGGTCTATCCTGATTTCTGGACAGAAACAACTGTGAAAGTGTTCGAAACTTGTTTGAGTAAGTTTGATTCGGTAGAATACTTCTGATGAGATATAGCGTTACCTTTAAAAGGGGTTCATTGTACTTTTAAATGGACCTTTTGGATTTCGTGGTCCAACCATTGATCGAGTTATCTCACTTAAGTTTTCTGAGTTAAAACATACCTCGCTTCAGGGTTTTTCGTTGCTTGTCTGATCGTAAAAGCCACAGCTCCAGCACAGCCAGTGCCGATAATCAAGAACAGAGGTGTCAGCTGTGAGAAGGAAGTTGCAAATTAAGAATACTACAAACAAAACTTCGCCACTTGGCCACAGAGAATTTTTCGTAACTTAAATTCACAGGAATTACATTTTTTGTTGTTGTTGTTTTTCGACCTAGCAGCGACAATTCAAGAAAAATCTTTCATCAGAATTGCTATGTAATACCTCCAAATCGCAGGTCTTGACCTCTTTGTGTCTGTACACTGAGGCTCTACGGAAATTCTGTTCATCAAAACTGTTTACCGCAAAAGAACTGGTGAATAGATTGTTGCGTCGTAAAACAGTCATTTGTTGCTTTTTGCGTTTTCATATATTCAAGCATCGTTGTTCTAAAATTCAAATGAAATGTCAAAGCACAGCTGTCTGGCTAGCTTAAAGAAGGTAATCTACATAAAACTGTTCTCTTAATTATCTTCAGTAAGGTTTCAAATGTTAAAAATTTCTTCCACTGAAACGGACTTGCTAACGTTGCAATATATTGAGACTGTGGAAAAAACTTATAAGATCTGTTTGATCGAAAAGCTCTGCGAATTAAAAGTCGTTCGCGACGTTCATTTTGACAGTATTGTTATTTTCATATTAATGAATTCACACCCGAAGTGCAAACTGAAATTTTCACTGGCAACGAAAAGATCTGTTGCTATTGTGATTTTCTCTTCCTCCAGTAGCACCAGAAAAAATGCAAGACTGATTCCTTTAGCTTCGAAAAGAATTAAGTATAATCCCTTCGCCCATCTCTTTCATTTATCGATAAGCGTCTTTGAAACACCTTTTGTACGTGTAGAATTGCACGAAACGAAATTTCCTGAGAACAAGCGATGTATCCAGTTAAAAGATTGATAAAACTGACCAGTCTTACCTCTGGTGATTTTCTGAGCAGAGCAAGGACCATTTTAGATCTTCAAAGAAAACAGTTAAAACGCCTTGCAAGCTTAGTTTTGCGATAATTTGCAGGGAACGCTGCCAAAGTGGCCCGAAGCACTTCACCTGTATTCTGAACCAAAAGGGGTTATAAATACTTAAAATAAACTGCAAATGACATGTGTGACGTCACGAGCCCTACCCGGAACTACATTCATTCTACAAGGCAGGGTAGTTCACGGAAATATCGGCCATATTTGCTTCTGGAAAGAAAGGAAATGATTCACTGCTCACGCAAAGGATTTCAACAACCAATATCGACGTTTTTATACCACCAGAACCATGCGAGACATCACGTAAAGAAAAAAGATCCAACATCCTTCCATTAGGATTAAGAAGTTGATCTGTGTAAACACTTGCTATATTTATATATCCAAGAAGATGTCGACCATCATGTCGGGCATTGACTAAAACATTTGGGTAAACTTACAATTGTTGTAATTTTTTATGGGTGGTTGGTCTTTTTTTTTTTCTTCAATCGTGGTAAAGGCGTGCTTGTCCTCATAGGGCTAGGTTTTTCATTTTCTGAGGGCCAGATAATTTTTGGACCACAAGTTTTTTTTAGACCTACCTAAAAATTTCGTAGCATAACTTCCTTTCAAATGTTATTCTTATTCGGAAATCGAAGCTCTCGAGGAATTATGATCGGTGCCATCTCTATTCTAGTGATGGTTCGCGCTTTATTTACTTTAACGGTTCTTGGATAATGTGTGTAGAAAGGATGTACTTGACTCCTGGGAAATTAACGATCCCCTTCTTTCAAGCAAGTTAATAACGAAAAATATCATGAAAATGCCGCTTCTCGGTTGTTTTGATATGTCACTCGATTCGAAATACTATAACGAAAAAGAAACAACAACCATGCAAGAGAAAAATTCAAATGAATATTTAATAAAACTTCGGATCCTTTTGGATCTCTGATATTTTACATACGCTCAACAGAGGAAAATGTACATTTTGAAGAAAATTTTTTAGCAATTTGCTGACCTCGAAATAACGTTTCCAGTAGGACTCGAAAAGGCACCTGGGAATGTTTTCACTGAGAGCGCCAAGCGGCTTCCTTCTGCATTCATATAAATTTGTATATTCTTAATGGATAACAAATATGGTTCTGATAAAAGTTGTCGTCATGATTTAAATATGTGGGCTATTATTTCAACAGTTGAGTTGTTCTTGGAATATTTAACGTTTTTCGCTGCAGACCGTCGTATTCTTTTTTATAATCCAGCTTTTCAGCGTCTTCCATCGGCAACTGAGGGGTGAGAAGGCTTGTAAAGCTGTTGATTGAAAAAGTATAGGTAAACAGACGAATAGAGAGACGAATTGATAAAAATATATTTAATTCTGACATGTGTATAGGATAATTTGAGTATTTGAGTATTTAAGGATTTGTACAAGGTACTGGAGCAGAAACAATAGGACATAGGTCTCCTACGAGGTTTAAGCTCCAACAAACCCACCCACCCCNGAGTGTTGGTCCGGCTGGGGCTCGAACCCTCGACCTCCCGCACAACAGTCCAGCGCTCTATCCATTGAGCTAACCGGAACTGGAGAACACGACCTTATGTTCTCTTAATGATAATCATCAAAGACAATTTTAAATTCTTAATCTAAGGATCCCTGTCTTCTGGTTATCGCCGGTTGCAGCAAGGATTTCAAGGTTTATGCCAGCGTTTCCGTAGAGATAATATGATAGAATCTAAGGTCTGCCGCTAACCTTCACTTGTTGATCTGGTTTGATGTTAAGCCAAGGATGGGGATTGTTTTTCTTGTCCCAGCTGTTAAAAAGAAAATAAAAGCTATGAGGGAAAAATAAAGCTACTGCAATCGATCCATCGCGTTGGGCGTTAGACGTCAGACGGATTTTTTCATGTCTTCTGATAAAAAAAAAAGTCACATACCATGCCTCAGGGTTTTTCGTGGCTTGTCTTATTAGAAAAGCCGTGGCTCCTGTGGTCGCAGTTCCCATAATCACCAAGAGAGGAATAACCTGAAAATGAAATGAGGAAAATGAAATAGTGAATGAAACCAGGAATCCATACTGACACACAAAAAAACACAATTTAAAAACGTCAGATTAAAAAAGTGATGAACTTGCTGACGGTACTGAACGACTTAGAAATATTTCCACGAAAGACACATAAAAGCCGATTTGTTTTCTCAGAGCTGAGGAATTTTTTTGAAACGATCTCAGTATCCTTATATCAACAAGGAAGTTGGGATCATCTCTGTAATATGTCAAAGTTTCCAGGAATCCGATGTAACGCACGTGCAGAATGTCATGTCAATTTTACAATCTTCTATTTTATAATCACCCATAATCAGACATGCCATTTGATGTTTTTCGAAGTGTCTAAAATTAGAATGTTTGCTAATTCAAAAACCTTGGCTTTACCACCCGTTTGGAAAAGGAAACACCTAATTTTTAGGCTATTCCTTGATCAAGAATGCATTTTTCTCCCATACTCTCAATTTTCTGTACAGAAAGTCGTACTGATATGTTTCTCGTACAACCTCAAAATTCATTATGTAAGGTTTCGTCGCAGGTGTCCTTGTCCCTCAATATTTTTTCCTGTAATGAATTATTTCTTTGCAAAATAACAGCTTTTGACATCGATTTCCTGTTTTCATTTCTTCTACTTTTTGTTTCGCTTCGTTGTTTTTGCTTTTTATGTTTATTTCAAATTTTTACGAAATACAAACAAAATTGAATTGAATGATAAGAACCATGCAAAATATTTGGAAGGGCCACTCTTTCGTTAAACGATATTCATCGCTTAATTGCTTTCAAAGTGATAAGTTTGTGAAGAATTGCACGTTCAGGGAGGAACAACTCTTACTACAATATCTCGCTTACAGCGGCTTACCTCCGGGGCTTTTCTTATCACAGAGAGAACCATTTTCTTGACAAATTGGAATGTCTTCGTCGACAATCTCTTATCAACTTTGACTAGCAATAATTTATTGCAAGGGCTATTTGAAACAGCCGTAACACTTCGCTTCTGTTAGAACTGATCGTTTAAACCGGTGGTGACGGATATTTATCTGTGTGAGGTAGCTAAATTTATGCCCCATGTGACGTCATCTGTAGCTTCTCGTAGCAGCCTTGACGTACAAGAGACGCCTGGGACGAGCCAAATCGCACGCTCGGACTGTAGAGGCCTGGCAGCCAAGTAAATAACATGGCGGCTACGAGGATTCTAGCGTGCTCCAGAGTTAAGGTTCGTTGATTGCAGTGTTTGATCACCTTTGTGAAATCGTTGTATTTATCATTAACTTCTTTAAAAGATAAAAACGTGTTGCTTGATTGAGGTCATTTTTGGAGAATAATCAAACTCGGTTTCCATAATTTTATCAAAGAGGGACTTAAGTGACAACGTATTTCCCTTGTTCTCGATATTGAAGTTATGGATGATGTAATTTCCTTGTTACCCTTCTGGTGTTTGCTGACAGTTAATTGCCATGTTACTGTCGTTCCCAAACACGTCAACCCCAAGCGGATTAACCTTGCCCCCGCGTCACGTGTGATATCCCCTCGACAGAAAATTATTTTCTTAAAAATCATATCGATGGTAATTGAACTGAGTGGAGTGCGATTTGTTCTGAAATCATGCGTGTGATTTCAATATCAAACAAGTGTGTAGCACGAGTTTGAATTGAAATCACAAGTATGATTTCAGACCAAAATTGCATGACACGAAGTTCACTTAGCTTACCACTTCATTACATCCATTTTGAAATTGCCAAATCCAGGCGCTCAGAAACAGAATTGTTTAACTTGTATAACTATTTTATTGATCCAGAAGGTAGCTAACTTGTAAAATGTTGCAAAAGTTGTCTTTCCTTTTCCTCTTATTAGTTACTTAAATAAGCATGAAATCGTATTAGTTGTTGTGTTTTAGTAGAAGTTTCTCTTTGGCTGGAAAAAAGATGCAATTTAGAGTAAAAAAAAAATGGTGTAATTCATGAATAAATTGCACCAACGAGAGCCAATCAGATTAGAGGGATCTCTAGTGATTTCAAAAAGCAAGTAATAAAGCCCAAAATTAATATCAAGTTATTATTGCTCATGTCATTACTTTATTGTTCTTTACTGGTCACGAGATGCACTGTTTGCACTGCCCTGTGAAAATAAAAAAACTGATGTATTAAAACCCCAAAACATCTTGAATTAAATAAATCTCTTTTTGACTGATTTCTGTTGTAATGAATTATTAAATAGTTCAGATAATAATCTAAGAGAGGCTAGCAGAGGGGGGTTACTGATCCCAGATCACACACACATTTTAGACAGGTGTCATGTATACTTTAAATAATATTTCATGCATTACATGTTTAAAAGGGGAAACTCCAATTATCACTTTGTTGGTTAAGTTTTAATAATTTTTTGTAAATAAATTTGGCAAATGGTATTAGTTTATGCACAGTGATTTGAGAATGTGCTTTTAAATTAATTCCAGTATAATATTGATTAAATGATAGATATTCTCTTTTCAGTTGTTCGGCTTTATTTTTGAGTCATCAATATTGAAATTTTCAATTATTCAAACTCTCAACTGTCCAGACCATTCAGCCCAGTCCTGACGAGTTTGGATAATTGAGGTTCAACTGTTAGTTGTAATGTGCATAAATTAAGTCAAGCTTTTATCATTCAAGTCCTTAGATGGCATGCACATGCTTGCTTGTTTGTTTTGGCTAAAAGCTTTGCTGATTTATTGTAATGGTTCCTTTCACAGCCATGTAATCTCACAGCAATCTTCAGAGTGCATGAATCAATGGTTAACTCTGTTCTGGTCATACAAACACGATCAAAGGTCAGCAAAAAATCACCATTTCTTGCTGGAAAGGGCCATAAGGAAAAGATTCGAGATGAAAATAGCAGTAGAAAGACATATATAGGAAAAATGACTGTA